CTAAATCCAAGGAGACGGAGGAAGAAAATGCCAAATATTTTATTCACCAAAAGCTTTTTTTTATTAATCCTTCTGGAAACACCAGTGGCGTCACTGGAGATGTGCTGTTGCTGCTTTGGCAGAGCATCACAACAACTTGTCAGAGGAGGGTGACATCCACCACCCCCCACCCCCCATGCGCAGGTAAAAAATTTAACCTGCGCAAAGAAGGGAGCAACAGAAGGATGACAGCATGTTTAGGTTTTTATTCACCCATGCAGATCCTCATGGAGAAACACTGGATGATTTAAAGGGAAGTTTATCTGTTCCATCAGAAAATAAAGTCAGAAGGCGTCGTTGCTGGCAACAGGCCATCTCATCTCAGTTGTATTAGGTCACGTTCCAGATAGGATGCTCTACAATCCCCCTTGTTTACTCTTCATCTATTTACATTAAAGTCCCAAATTCCCCCGGAGGAATAATGTCCATAATGAATGACAAACCTAAAGAGAGGAACTGTGTCAGGTTGGACTTTTATCTTTTTTTTTTGTTTTTTTTTAATTATTAATAATAATAATAATAATAATGCATTGAACTTATATAGCGCTTTTCTAGACACCCAGAGACGCTTTCACACACTCTCACATTCACACACTGCTAGTGATGTAAGCTACTTGTAGCCACAGCCGCCCTGGGGAGGTCTGACAGAGGCGAGGCTGCCATTTGGCGCCGTCGGCCCCTCTGACCACCACTAACACAGGCAAGTTGGGCGAAGTGTCTTGCTCAAGGACACAACAGCAGGATACCCCTGGCGGGAGCTGGAATCGAACCCATGACCCTCCGATCATGAGGCACTCCGCTCTACCACCTGAGCTACTGCTGCCCCAGTATTATGATGTTATTTTACGTTTCCACAAAGAAGGAACGTTACAGACAAGGATTCTGCAAAAGGACACGGAAGACAGGGGCTGTGAGTAGTTTTAGGGACAGAGCTGGATGTATGACTGTTAAAACCAGTCCTCAGTTAGCCGTCTTAATCCAACCAGTGAAGCCCAGTAAAGCACAGCTGCTCTGCAGACAGAGAAAGGAGAGGAAAACGAGCAGAGATCGGCCCGGTGGATCGATCTCCTAAAAAGACGGACAGCAGCACATCAAAAGTGTAAAAGAGGCGCTGAATCGGCTTTAAAGCTCCAACTGTAATCTGCTGGCTGCGTGCTGATCGGCCCAACGGATGGTAAGGATAAAGCGTGCAGCTTCGATTAACATAAGAGCGGATTCTCCTCGGCCGACAGTGTCTGGTCACTTCTTAGTGGTTATGGTTCCCTGCCAACCAAACAGCTCTGCTGCTGCATTTACTGACCTAGTTGTTAAATACTCTGATGTTTAGCAGATAAGATAGTAGTTCATCTTAATGATGACATGTAAACGCTGGTGCTACATGATAGTCAAGGGGTCAGTTCAGAGGAAAACCTGAGAAAAACATTTATGGAAATAAGATTTGGTTTTAGCTTAGCAAACCAAGCTTCTCACAGACTTCTCATTTTGTCTTCATTAAAGAGGAAAATGAGCTTTGTAATCACCAGCAGGACATGCCAATCGTCTTCCAATTAGAACAAACAGGAAGAAATGCTGAGGAACACACGTCTGTGTCCTTTCAGATGCGTCCAGTCTCCTCCCCGAGGGGTAAAGCTAGGCTTGTGCTGAGAAAATAGCTTTGTGTCTTTCACCAAGAAGACGAACAAAAGACAGAACCCCGTTTGTTCCTCGTGTGCAGAGGGGCATGTGGTGAAGAGGTGGGAGGAGGGCATGTCTAATTGGTTGTGAGGTTGTGTGTGTGTAGGGACCATCGACACATACATACAGGGGGGGGGGGGGGGGGCAGTTACCCTCTTGAATATTCAGTGTGATGAATGAGCGTCGGTCCTTTTCAGGGAAAACAGAAGCCTGGGATGACACGGGAGCAAAACTCTGCTTCAGCCTTGATAACGCAACAAGCTGCGTAGAGTTCACAGCTCCTGTTTCAGCTCACTGTTATGTCCAAAATCAGACCTGGTGAAAGAAGCCAGAGGCTTCATTTTTATGTTTTTCATTAAGCTGAAAGCAACATGAACCTCAGTCAGTACAGGGTGTTAGCTCAAGTGTGTGTGTGTGTGTGTGTGTGTGTGTGGCACGTGCGAGCGCACGCGCTTGTGTGTGTCTGGGAGAACATTTGCTTTTGTAACTATCAATGTGTTTAGAAAATATTTGACTGTGTTAAAGTTACTTCATTTATAAAATGTTAGTAATGTACACACGCCAAGCTAGCCTAATTGGTAAACGTAAGGTTATAATGTGTGTATAGTTACTCTGCTGAAAAAAACAGCATAGACCAGCATAGGCTGTGTTTATTGCTGCTTTGCTGGCCCAGCTAAACCAGCACCAAAACACAACATATGCTGGTCCTTGCTGGTTTTAGTAAGGTTTTTTTTTCTGTGTATTGCAGTTACAGTGATAAAACAATTATAAAGATCTTAAGCCTTGGGTGAAGATTCCTGTTTGTTTTAGTTGTTTGCTAGCTAGTTAGCTACGTGCTGAGCAAATTTATATTCCATAAGTTATGCCAAACAAACTGAAATATCTTCAAAACCTACCACTACAAACTGTCTGAATTACTAGAGTGTCTCACCAGCTGGTTAGAAGATAACTTCCTTCAGTTAAACTCTGAAAAGACTGAATGTGTGATCATTGCCCGTGAGAGCATGGTTCCCCTGATTAGTCTAAAACTTGGTCATTTATCTTCTGCCGTGGAGACAAACTTGAGGAATTTGTGTGTTATTTTTGACCAATCAATGTCTCTTGAAGGCAACTCAAAAACATTGGTCCGAAACAGTTTTTATCACTTAAGAACTACAAAGGTTGGTGTCAAAACATTGACTTGAAATGGTTATCCATGCCTTCATCTCCTCCCGTCTAGATCACTGTAACACACTTTTCACATGTTTTAACAAAAAAGCCCTTGACCGCCTTCAGTTGGTCCAGAACTCTGCAGCGAGGCTCCTAACTGGAGCAAACAGAAGAGCACACATCACTCCTATTCTAACGTCTCTGCACTGGTTACCCGTTAACTTTAGAGTTCATTTTAGAGTCCTGACTAGAACTTTCAATGCTCTTCATGGTCAAGCTCCTTCCTCTATTACTGAACTGTTAAAGCCTTGTACTCCAACCCGAGCCCTCAGGTCCACCCACCAGAACCTTCTAGAAGTTCCAAAAACCAGATATAACAGTCAAGGTGATCGCTCCTTCCAGACTGTTGCACCCCGACTCTGGAATGATCTTCCTTTATCCTTACGTAGTATTGACAGTCTGGACGCTTTTAAAAAAAACAGCTAAAGACCCTTTTATTTAAAGATGCTTTTACCTAAACCTTTTATTTTCTTATTTTTAACTCAAATTTTTAATCTTTCATCTGTTTGTGAAAATTTATAATTTTATTACTTTATTTTTGCTGATGTTAATCTTTTATGACTTTGTTTTATTTTGTTTTGATCTATGTGAAGCACTTTGTGATTTTATGTCTGTGATAAGATAAATAAAATTTACTTACTACTTACTACTAACCTCAGATCAGCCATAAGTGAACAATTTGAGAGAGAGAGGAGAAGTAGCAGAAGAGTTTGGTGTGTATAATACGTGTAGGCTTTGTAAAAGCTGTGTCTTTAAAAGACTAAAACCCAGATTTGATATTATAACTTAATGCCAATATCATCCAATATTAAAGCGGTTTGATGCTAGCATAGAAATATCGACAGATAGTAGCCAAAGCAAAAATGCTTTTACTCTGCATGTTGGTCTAGTCGTGCTTACTTAAAATATAATATTTCCACCCAAACCATAATTAGATCTCCATCTCCAGGTTGAACCTCTGCTCCACATTGATTTAGAATCAGCCACAGCTGACGGCTGTAGAGCTGCAGGGTGACATTGTCTGTGTCGTACTGTGTGGCCGCACTGCACTGGACTCCTGCTGAGTCACGGCTGCACCTCCACCCGGCTCAACCACTCACCTGCTGATATGACACGTTGGCGCTCGGAGACGCTCGCCTCCTTAAAAAAAGATCCTCCTCCTCTTTTCTCTAGTGATCGTGATGAACAGGACATTCTCCTTCCTGCTGTAGCGCACCAAAAGGCCACGTATTTCATCAAAAATGACCGGAAGTTAACTTTTAACTTGGTGGCCAAACTTTTAACACACAGGCCAATCTGACACCGTGGTGCCATAGAATTGAACTTGAGCCAATTTTCTTAACACCCTGTGTTGAATCCTCAAGGCGGCAAGATGCAGGACTCCTTATCTTTTACTCTCTGAACAAAGCCTATCTTACCTGATGTAAATGACTTCATATAATCATATTCTGTTGAATAAACAATTTGTTTAAATCCAAAGTGTTTGATAATGTGTCCTATACTTTACATTAATGAGTGATGGGTTAAAATGAATCGTTTTCCTGTAACGATTCATTTCAGATCTTAAATCATACCAGATTTGTTGATTTCGGTGTTAAATTTGTCAGTATATTCACACCTTATAATATTATTATTAATATTAAAACATTTGTGCTTCACATAACTGTCAGAACAGTTTGGCTTTACACTAGAGTTAACCTCTAAGTATTTGAGTGAGGAAGTGATTTCCTGAGGTATTTTTTGTAATGCCCTTTCAACTTGTCAAATTCTTTATTTGTCTATATTTGTCAACAACAGTTGATAAATATAGGGATAGCTTCCTGATCTAGTCAGTTGTTCGCCAGCTTACTCGGTAGGTCAACCGGGTGAGCAAGCATTTGGAAAGATTCTCTCTTTTGACCCCAAGGTCAAAGCCTCTCTGCAACGCTTGCGAGTGATCCAAGACACTACAGCCTCAGACGTGGAGCGTCTAACCTGCAGACCTTGGTAGCATCTTTTGGTCGGTGATCTCTGAATTCAAAGGGAGCTACGACTCTTTGGTGTTCCTGTAGCCATGACATACGGAACGATTCCGCCCCACGACTGAAATCTTTCTACGGGTCATGGCCAGACAATATATTCACTTGAATAGGATGGCTTGTCAGGCCAGAATGACGCAACACACTTATAAGGCTTTTCCAGTAGTAACTGATTGCTGCCCATTTTTTAAGTCCAGCCTTAAATTGGTTCCAAGTGAACAGAACTAAGAAAACACAAAGGTCACTGATTCAATTCAATTCAATTCAAGTTTATTTATGTAGCGCCAAATCACGACAAGAGTCGTCTCAAGGCACTTCACATAATAAACATTCCAATTCAGTTCAGTTCATTAAGCCAATCAGAAATAATGTTTCCTATATAAGGAACCCAGCAAATTGCATCAAGTCACTGACTAGTGTCAGTGACTATACAGCAATCCTTATACTAAGCAAGCATAAAGCGACAGTGGAGAGGAAAACTCCCTTTTAACAGGAAGAAACCTCCAGAGAATCCTGGCTCAGTATAAGCAGCCATCCTCCACGACTCACTGGGGATCGAGAAGACAGAGCGCACGCACACACACACACACATACACACACACACACACACACACACACACACACACACACACACACACACACACACACACACACACACACACACACACAAGTAATGTGTCTATAGTTATATTGTGATGTCTAAGTAAATATTGTATTTGGTGAAAGATAAACTTTATTGTATTTATCCTAGTGAATCTATAATTAAACGGATAAACTAGCAGTAGCACATCCAATGTCAAGGAAAGCAAAAAGTTATCAGGAGAGGGAGAATATTTTAGTGGTTAGCAGCAGTGTGCTAGTCGATGGCCCCCTCCGTGAGGGCACCACAGCTCAGCAGAACATCATTGTAGCTTCTTCTGGGGAGAGAAAATAAAGTTAACAGCTGAAATTACAGAAAATAGTACAGTTAAAGAGCAGACTGTAGAAGAAAGCAGTAGAGTGTGGAAAGTGGTCAGTGTGTCCTCCAGCAGTCTAAGCCTATAGCAGCATAACTACAGAGATAACTCAGGATAATCTATCCTATTTAGATGTAGGCATGTTGGAGGCAGGGCAAGGGAGAGCCGTCTTTACCGACTGTACACTCCACCTCCCTGTACTCCCCCACTTGTCCAGATTTAGGCTAACATCAGATTTTAACCATAGGCCCTTTCAAATAAAATGTTTTAAGCCTAGTCTTAAAAGTAGACAAAGTGTCTGCCTCACGGACTAAAGCTGGGAGCTGGTTCCACAGGAGAGGAGCCTGATAACTAAAAGATCTGCCTCCCATCCTTATTTTAGATATTCTGGGAACCACCAGTAGACCTGCAGTCTGGGAGCGAAGTGCTCGGTTAGAAATGTATGGAACAATCAGATCACTGATGTATGATGGAGCTTGATTATTAAGAGCTTTATAAGTGAGAAGGAGGATCTTAAAATCTATTCTGAATTTAACAGGTAGCCAATGTAGGGTCTGATTGACTAAAGGAAGGAGTCACCAACAGTCTCCAGTACTTCTGCGCTGCTTCTGGTGTCTTCCTTTTGGCGTCTGACAAAAAGACACAGACTGAGCACAAAGCTCAACATCACTACTGCATCCTCCATTGTTTCTGTTTTGCTGTGTATTGTGTCGTGTAAAGATCACCTTGCACTACTTTTCAAACTAAGGGCTGCCCTACTAGGATGGACCCTCCACTAGTTGTAATGGAAAACCACCCCAACCATGTGGAACAGAATTGAGCCGAGCCGCTCTGCGTAGGCGCTAGTGGAAATTATAATGTGTGAAAATCTCCAGACAGAGTTGCTTTTCTGGGTGCCAGAAGGCTCTGAATACTCACTCACTTTCCTCTGAAGCTGTGATAATGTGACATCACAGCATAACTGCATAATAGTCGCAATTTGAGCCTCATTTAAAAAAGATAGTTGTGCAGGAGCAAAACCAACATATGATACCAGATGATGTGTTCTGCTTCACGTGAGTTAGAAAGACAAATGAAGGCGAACAGATGAATCCTGGATCCACCGCTCTGGGCCTGAGTCTTCCCCGCACAGCAGCAGAATGAGTTACATACTATAGTGAGTGGGCTGCAACAAGCAACATGTTGTGTTACTTCTTCTCCCCACATCCCACTCACTGATAATTCTCTGCCCTCCTGCTCTCTGTGTGCTTGTTGACCAGTATGGGTGAATGGTGGGAGTCATGGTTCCCAGTTACAAAGCGCCTCACAGGAAACAAGTCTGAACAAGCATAAAAAACATTGTTATTATATTTAACAGTTTTATTTTCTTCGCTAAATCGCCATGCATGATCAGGTATTCTGCATTTGAAGCAGGATTCTGTCAGATAACTCCTCGTTGGTGTCACCTCCTCAGATGGGGGGGGGTGCATCTGAAGAAGACCGACCTTGAAGTGACTGTAAACTCTCATTTCTTCACACCTGTCTCAGCCTTGAACTGAAGAGTGGATGTTTCTGTTGGTTTCTCTCTTTTCTTGCTGCTTCTCATCCTCTTCATGGCTGTCAATCACTGCCTGTTATTGCCGCCATCAACAAACGCCTCCTTCCCTTCAGAATATAAACACATTCCTCAGAACCTGTCAGTTTCCACCTGTGAGAGAGTGTGTGTGCGTGTGCATGTGTGTGTGTGTGTGTGTGTGTGTGTGGACCATGGTGTGGACAGTATTTAATCTGAGGATTTTTTTAGACTCTTACAGCTCTGTGCAGCGTCCACTGTCTACGAGGTGCTGGACTAGACTGCCCTGGCACCATTACAACAACGACCCAGTTTAGTACCACCAGAGCAGGCTTGGCGCCATGCCGTTCCATCTTACATGGACTCAGACAACCCCAGAGAACCCTGGAGAGATGAGCCCTGGCCTCACCCACCTCTGGCTTTATTTTGTTTATTTCACTCTCCAGTAGCCTCAGTGTCTCCAGCCCATGAGTCATTTTTGTTTCTCCCTCTGTCTCAGTGGATTGTGTCTGTCCTTTATTCACCATTTCTCATTTCTCCCTATAGATCTATTCGGTCTTTACCTTCTATCCATTTATTTTACTACACAATCTGCTTATATTTTCTCTCATTTTTTATTTTAAATACATTTTTATTCAAATTAGTAAGGAACCATTTTAACTTGTGATTTTTGAAATATGATCGGTGAGTCTGAGTTTAATACGAAGGCTGAACATAAAAATAGCCTTCTACCCCTATTTCCTGCATTAGCTACCAATAGAAAACGGACAGAGAGACTCTTGGATTGGAAAAGCCAGTCAGAAAATTAGCATTCATGGACTCACCAATCTTGGCTAATGAGGGGGAGGGCTGTTGTTGATTTATCCAGGACTGCCAACGCTCACACAGTGAGCGTGAGACACAGGCATCTGACCCCCTTCACACACACTCTCATGCCCCACCTCCAATTTCTCACTCTGAAAAAACAAACCCCAGCCCCGCAGACCGCGGAGGGAGGTGACAAGAGTCGTTCACTCTAGGGTTGTCACGGTATGAAAATTTAACCTCACGGTTATTGTGACCAAAATTATCACGGTTTTCGGTATTATCGCGGTATTTTTTAAACGGTGTTGCATATGTTCAGAAAGCATTGATAGTCCTGTTCTACACAAACTGAAATAGTTCTGAAAAGGTTTAACAGTGTTTATTAAACCTAAAATAACACAAAGCCTTAGCAAAAGTGCAACTTTTCACAAGTAAAGGAACAAACAGCTTATTTTTCTGGAACATGTTACAGTAGTCAGTGCAGGTTTAAATTATACAAATCCAAACATTCAAAACATAAACAATATGTAAACAAATCAAAGAAACACCACTTGTTTTCTCATATACTTGTTTTCTTCATTATCAAAATGAAAATCTAAAACTCCAGTCCACACTTGACTTGAGCGCTGTACAAGTCAACCTTAAAAAATATGTATTTAAAATAAATATCCACTTTAAACAAATTACTAAAATAACTACTACACTATGTAATCAAATCCAAATGTTCAAGTATAAATGGCATTGAATAAGTAAACAAATCCATGACAAGGAACTAATTGTATATTTCTCTTCATCATCAACAAATAAGATGCTTCATCCAGCAACAGGGTGTCCGTGACACGGTTTAAATGCTGGCAGAGGACGCTGCGGCTGCAGCATATAGTGACTCGTTGCATTCTCCCTCAACCAAAAGTCCTCACGTCATGCATTTCAGCTAAAATGCTAATGTTAACTTACCTTGCACCGGCTGTGGAGACGTGGGTGATGGTCACGCAGATGTGCCATGAGATTTGAAGTGTTGCTGCCTTCTGCAGACACTTGTTTCCTGCACGTTCTGCAAACGGGATAGCCGTCTTCTATTAACTGTCCCTCAGCATTTTTCAGAAATCCCAAATATGCCCATACTTCCGATTTAGTCTTCTTTGAGGGCTGATGGATGTCCTGGGCGCTGCCGTCGCCTCCTTCGGCCATTATTTCAGCTTCAAAGTTTTGGTGCCGTTGCAAATTAAAAAGTGCGTGTGCGAGCAGCGGGAACTTCAGCTGAAGCGACGGTGGCTGGTAAGGGTCATCGCGCCGAAACCGCGGCCACGGTAAACCCACCGAGATAATATAGTTTTTTAAAAACTGGACGGTTATTTTTATTGTCAACTTTTTTACCGGGGTTTACCGCTATACCGGTTACCGTGACAACCCTAGTTCACTCCCACCGATGCTCCCACGCATGGAAAACTTCAAAGGTTGGCAGCCCTGATTAATTGTCCAGGAGAGAGCAGAGCGCATCCCAGCTAGTCGAAGCTAACCATTAGCGTAACAACTCCTTGATACAGAACTCATTCAAGCTTGTATTATTTGTGAAGATAGAACATCAACGTTGCAAACAGAGTCAGTGGTAAAGTCACGTTGCTGTTGGCTAATCAGAGGCGAGATGTCCGGATATCAGGAAATAAAGACTCCATATCCTGCTTTTTTTCTGCTCCCCTATGCTGTAGCTCACTTCTAGTTCCTGAAAAAGAAGCACCAGAGCTTTTTTCCCTCAGAGATCAACTCACAAGGCCTTCATATTTACCAGAGACCACTACAAATGTGTTGAAAGAGCAAGTAAACTTGGTCTTTAGGAAAATCTCAAAAATATCCTGCTTCTTTCTTCTCACTAAGATGTATAAATATATAATTGCATAATGCAGTGCATATGTGATTCATTAAAAAGCCCATGATGGTATTTATGTATATTAGAGACTCTTATTTTGAAGAATTGAAGGAAGTTCTTTGAGTCCTGCTGCAGACGCTGCTGCATAACCCCGGGTTTCCACGGGAGCCGTCAGCAGCACGTTACTGCAGCAGCACGTCTTGCTCGCATAAACTGCTGCTTGGCCCTTCCCACGAGACGCGAAGCAGCAGGGGAGCAGCTGTCACCGACCGAGCACGAAGTCACACGAGTGACTTCGTCAGTAAACACAACAACAAGCAGGAGAAAACTACAACATGGTTTGTGTTTTATGTTCTGTCCGTTTTATAATCGCCAATACGGACCTGAAAAACAAAGGAGACCGCTAGTTAGGTGATAACTTCTCATGGGGACGCACAGTTAGTAACTTTTTTTAAAAGTAAAGCAACCGGAAGGCAGTACATTCTTTATTCTGAAAATCCCAGGAGCTTCTCTCAATTTCCGTGTCCGATTTCCTGTCTTTCCTTCCCCAAAAATGTCGAACTTGACCCGTTTCAGAGGCGTCGCGCGCAGAAAATAGAACCGGCGCGTAAAGGCCGCGACATGCTGCTTCTGACACGCGGCCGACTCGCGCTGCTGACAGCTCCAGTGGAAAGGGTTCTGTTGACCACAGCGGTTCCTATCAGCAGCTATGACGTGCTGCTGCAGTAACGTGCTGCTGACGACTCCTGTGGAAAGCAGGGGTAAGAAGCCATAGCTTCTAGACTGGTGTAACAGCAGTTTCATCTCACATAGAATAAAAATCTGCTCTAATGATTGTATCTTGTATATATGCAGTGCTTCTTCTGCAGTTCAAATCCAGTTATTACTGGAGAGCAGTTGGTCGTCCCAGTCTGTCCCGGAGCTGTCAGGCTGGACTCTCATTTCTCTCTTGTCCTGGTAATAAAAGCAGCAGGCAGCAGTCTCCTACCACATCACCAAGGTTAAACACAGAAGCACACTCCATCCTCTAATGCACATTTACTCTAATCTCACCAGTATTAGAATGTGCTTTTTGTGCCAGAACAAAATCTAATTACTGCCAGTGCACAATGAGATGCTTGAGATGATCTGGTATTAAACTGTACGTCTTGACCTTAATACTTCCTGCTCTTATGCTGCTTTTATCCCTTCTTAGACTTTTTATGCTCTTGGTTTTTCTTCTGAAATCTCAGTTTGAAACCGTTTTCTGTTGGGATTAGATGGAGACAAATTCCAGAGATTAGACGGTCACGTTTCTTCTCCTTGTAGTAAATACTTCCCATTTCGTGTTATGGTCTGACTCTTATTCCCCCAGTGCGTGCTGTTTAATTTATCCTGTCACTCCGCCTCTCCGTCACCAGCAGCCTCCTCTCCATCCTTTGCCTTTTCTCTACATCTGTCTCCTCCATTAGCAGAATTTGTCGTCTAGCCCTATCTCTACTTTTCTCCATCATTGCGCCTCTCTTCTTCACAGATCCACCCTTGTCTGTCCTCATCTGTCCTTATCTTCCTTCATGAACTCCTCTCCCAAGTGATGAGCCACATGGTGATGCGTTTGCAGATAAGTGCAGAGTGACTGAGGGAAACCATTATAGAAGGGTCTGACTGCTCATGGAGGTATTGGATGTAAGTGCTGGTGTACGCTCTAGTCAGCAGTGAGTGTGTGAGAGCGTGTGAGAGTTGCACAAGGACTTGCACCGTAATGTGAACCCTCCCTCTAAAGCCACAGGACTTGATTTAGTTTAAACTGCATCTCATGAAGTGAAAGTGAGCAGGTAGTAAACCACAGAGGTGAACATGGCCTCACCATAGTCCCTCGAGTGTGACTGGATGAGAACAACAGTTGAAGTTTAGGATAAAATCTAGATGAATAGTTTTATAACATCCTTAAAACAAAGTATGATTAATTAGTCTATGCTCTTGTGTTTTCAATTGTCCACCTTAAGAGATTTTAGAAAATGTTAAATATCTTAATGTTTGAAACATTGCTATTTTATTTTGGTGTATAACTCTTCTGCTGTGATTCCTGCTGCTCAGATCTATGCAGCTAATATTAGTGGTAAAAAGGGCATCCATCCTTCCAACCAGCAATCCATTCATTCATTCTCTTCCACTTTTGAGAGGTCGAGTCGCGGGGGCAGCAACCCAAACAAAGAGGCCCAGACTTCCTCTCCCAGCCATTTGGGTCAGCTCCTCTGAGGGAATCCCAAGGTGTTTCCTGGTGAGCTGAGAGACATAAAGTGTTACTCTATGCAAGGAACCTCGCCTTGAAGTCTTGGCCCCACCCCGGTTGCCTAGGAGATAAGTCATCAGGAACTACCAAGGCGTGATCCAATGTTCATTTTTCTACGGAGGTATTTGTTTTCTTTTGTTAGCCGTTTAGCTAGCTGAGCAAGGATACACGGGAGGTGTCTTGTTGCCTAGCCTTGGTCAAAAATTTCCCAGAATACAGTGCTGTATTTTCAAAAGGATGGCAGATCAGGAGCAGGCAGCTACTTCGGGGACAAATTTCAAGTTTTAAATGTAAGTCAACCAATTGTAGCTATCAGGCTGATATCTGATATGTTTTTTAGATGCAAGAAAGTTATCTATGGTTGGTTAGATGCTTAGTAGTTGCAGCTTCGGTGGTTAGCAGGTAGTAACTTGCTTACATATTTGATTTAACCAATATATACACAATTTAAAAAGTAAAAGGCTTGTTATAGATTTATATTGAAACGTATACAAATAAAGTTACTTCACATGTCACGTGAAGTTACATGACCGCCGCAGAAGCCGCGGTCACGTGATGCAAGTCTGTTCCATTTAACTGTTTTCTTTGACCAAGGAAGGGCCATGTCCTCCTAAGCAAGGTGTCTGGCCTTACAAGACATCGCCTTGCGAGGCCAGGCGCAATGACAATGAGAAACACCCACAGTCCCTCTAGCGTGTCCTGGATCTTTCTTTAGGTCTCATCCCGGTTGGACGGGCTCAGACAACCTCACCAGGGAGGCATCCAGGAAGCGTCCTAACTAGATGCTCAATCCAACTTGCTCCTCTTGACGTTGAGGGAAGCGGATCTACTTCGAGCCCCTCCCGGATGATCAAGCTTCTCATCCTATCTCTAAAGAAGAGCCCAGACACTCCGGGGAGATAACTCATTTCAGCCAATTCTTTTGGTCACTTACCAAAGCTCCTGACCATAAGTGATGGTTGGAACG